TCTATCTCTGCTTCTCTTTCTTTGCCCCCAAACTCTTTTCATCTTACTTCAGCAAAACACCACGCATGGGGGCCCCCCCCGCCGCTCTGGGGGGGCCCCCCATCTGTGGGGGGCCCCCTGGTGGGGGGGGGCCCCCACCATCGATCTCAGCTTCTTGTCAATACACGACAACACTCTCAGGCCCCCGCTGCTCCTGGGGGCCCCCCAGAGGGGGGCCCCTCACATGATATTGTGGGGGCCCCCGGTGTGGAGGGTGTGTGGGGTGTTGGGGGCCCCTGCCCGTTGCCTACAACAACAGCATCTCAGTTGGGTTTGCTGAGTTCTGTGCGGTATCATCGCGGGAACTGCGTGGGTTCTTTCTCTTCTGTGGTGGTGCCGCCGCTGCATGCAGCTGTGTTGCCGCCTAATGCGCAGCAAGAATCTATCAGGTGTGGGGGGGGGAGGGGTTTGTTTTGGTTTGTTTTGTTTTTGTTTTTGTTTTTGTTTTGTTTTTGTTTTGTTTTGTTTTTGTTTTTGTTTTTTTTTTTTTTTTTTTTTTTTTTTTTTTTTTTTTTTTTTTTTTTTTTTTTTTTTTTTTTTTTTTTTTTTTTAATGTTTTTTTTTTTTTTTTTTTTTTTTTTTTTTTTTTTTTTTTTTTTTTTTTTTTTTTTTTTTTTGATTATAATTCTGTTGTTCCTCCAGTTTTGTTTTATTTTGTTTTTTATTTTATTTTTATTTTTTTAATTTGATTATATTATATTTTATTTTATTGTATTTTATTTTGTTGTTTTGTGTTTGTTTTGTTTATATACATTTCTGTTTGCTGATGTCTTTTGCTGCTGCTGCAGCGCTTAGTTGCTGCTGCAGCAGAAGCCTCATTCCCCTTGCTGCTGCTGCTGCTGCTGCTGTTGCTGCTGCTGCTGCTGCTGCTGCTGCTGCAGATTCATTCAAAAGCTGCTGCTGCTGCCTCCCCCGGCGCGAGTTGCTGATGCGATGCAGCAGCTGCTGCAGCAGCTGCTGCTGCTGGGGGGCAACACATCATCACCCCACGCAAATGCATGCATGCAGCAGCAGCAGCAGCAGCAGCAACAGCAGCAGCAGCAGCAGCAGTTGTTGGTGCCGTCAGGGAAAGTACCCAACATAGGGAAAGTCGCTCAGCTTATCTCAACTCGAAAGGTCTCTAAACCCTAAACCCTAAACCCTAAACCCCAAACCCTAAACCCTAAACCCCAAACCCTAAACCCTAAACCCCAAACCCTAAACCCTAAACTCCAAACCCTAAACCCTAAACCCTTATCTTTTTCTTTCTTTCCTGTGGCAGTTCATAGTTTGTTTCCACGCCCTCTTCATCCCCACCTTAGGGACTAGGGTTTAGGGTTTAGGGTTTAGGGTTTAGGGTTTAGGGTTTGTGTTTCAGGCGAATCGATTGTTGTTTATTGAGCTGCTGGGGCTGCTGCAGCCGGTTGCTTATATCTTAGATAAATACCCGCAGCAGCTGCTGCTGCCTCTGCTGCTGCTGCTGCAGCACGAGCTGCAGCAGCAGATCTCCATACAAACCCTAAAAAATAATGTTGCTGCTGCTCTGCAACGCATCACAAACGTAAACCCTAAACCCTAAACCCTAAAAAACCCTAAACCCTAATTCGAAACAATATATATATGCCGAAACCCTAAACCCTAGACCCTAAACCCTGATCCCTTTAGCGGAGCACTAAACCCTAAACCCTAAACCCTAAACCCTAATAAAAAACCCAAAATCCTAAACCCTAAACCCTAGTGATTACGTTTGCTCAAACCCTAATCTCCCCTCTAAACCCTAAACCCTAAACCCTAAACCCTCGTTGTGTGTTTGTGTTGCAGGTGATTCATCAAGACCCTGAAGCCCACAACCAAGCAGCAGATGCTGTTGCTCTTGCTGCTGCTGCTCAAGCAGCTGTAGCAGAATGCCAAAAAGCTGCTGCTGCAGCAAACCACGAAACAGAA